GCCCTGTTACAAAGCTAGCGCTCTACGCAACTTCTGTAGAAGCTTAGATTACTTTCTTTTACTCTCTTTTACTCTTTTTTTCTCTTCTTTACTATTTTTAATTATAGTTTTAGAAACTTTAGTTAATAGTATTATAATTTATTATTATTTACTATAATTACTAGCATAGATTTAAAGAAACTTGTATTAGTAGAAAAATAGCTAGTATATATAAGAAAATAATTACTATATTAGTAGCTATTCTACTTTAGTTTATACCTAATAAGTTTAATTGCTACTACAAACATATTACTAAAATACTCGCCCCATACCTAATACCTATGCCGCTTCCCTAACCACGCTGCAAACTCTCTCCAGTCTCCGCCTAGCTTTCCGCAGTATCCGCACTGTCGGATAATCCCAACTGCCCAGCCATCCCCAACAGCAGCTGCTCGTACTAGCGGTACTACTACATTCGGCCATTGACACTTTGCTGTAACGTCCCTGCTGTAAGGCCAGGATGGCGCTTACGTGTAAGGCCGAGATGGTGCTTACGTGCGACGGGTATATATACTATTCTGTACGCAATAATCAACTGTTGGTTGATTATTCGCACCTTTTTGGTTGTATTGGCGTAGTGGTACAGAGCTCCGTCCTTACACCTGCCTGTAGCGCAATACCTCTGACTAACAGAGCAGCGTTGACAACTGTTCTTAATGCCGTTGTTGCGTATACCCTTTTAAAAATAGTCTATGTCAACCCCATGCACGCCTGCCTGTGCTGTACACTTCATTGTCTTGTGCGTCCGCCACTTGTCCCGCCCCAAGTTGTCTAGCACCCAGCATATAGCACATCCTGCCCGCACCTTGTCTATTATCTCTTGAACCTGTTGCCACTTAGTGCTTGTCTCCCACTGTGAACGCTTAAACTTGCGGACTTACTCTCTACACTGGTCACATCCAGCAGACTCAATGTCGTTGCACGCCACAGCCTTGCTGTCCATGTACATGCTCATCAGCGCTCGTTGGCACCCGCGGCCTGTTAAAAACAACCTATGGCCTGCACGCATAAGTCGTCGCTGTGCTTGAGCATCTCCCGTTCCACAGATCTACGCTCTACAACAATAACTGAGTCAACCTCCTCCCCGGCTCGCCCTCCACGCCCGCTCTCTTGCGCGAAGTCGATCATGCTCCACGGCATCCCCACGTGTGGTATATACACCACCCCGGGGTAATCAACCCCCGTCCCCAGCGCTGACGTAGCCACGATCAGCCCACCAGAGCCGAGCCACTGCTTTACCTGTTCAGCGCGATTGGGGACGTTAGCGTGATAGTATTCGCATCTAAGCTCTTCTGGTATCCTCTGACACTGTTCCTTGCTGCGGCAGTACACCACGCCCTTCTCTCCTGTCGCAAGCAACGACGACTGCCGCCGTGAGCCTACCGTGAGCGCTGTCTCCTCTAGCTTGCCGGCTTAACACCACGACACAAAGTATCGCGTGTTCGGCCGGACAGTGCTAGCGCGCACGTACGTTGCACACCGAACCAGCATGCCAGCCTCCAGTTCGCACTCTCGTGATGGCGGAAGCGTCGCCGTGAGCAGTACTATCGGGCACAGTAGCAACTGTAGATTAAAGCACTGTTTCTAGGCTTCCTAAGATAAATAATGGGTTTTGGATATAATGTATAGGATGATGATTGATTGTATTTATTAATAGATGTTTCTTTTTTCTTTTTGTCTGCTCTCCTCGTGTTGCTCGGCTTTGTTTTTCCGGTCTGAGTCCCTCGCGCACTAGCCCTATGCGCGACCAGCTGCAACATGCTGCAACTTGTTGCAAAATGCTGCAAAATGCTGCAACATGCTGCAATTTGCAGCAACATACTGTTCGAGCTTATTGCTCGTACTATGTAGCAGCTTTCGTCCAGCGTTCCTCCTGTCTTGACAGTAGGTGCGCATATCTGACAGTAGTATGCGACCCTAGCGAGCATGTACAAGTAGTGCTTCGCCCTGCACAGTCGCTGGGCCGGGGCATCGATACCTTAAGCACAGCTAGAAAGCGGAGAAACCTA